GGTGTTCGGGAGGTCACGGGTTCGATTCCTGTCGGGGACTCAGAATTTTTCTTTGTCCCACGCTCGTGTCATGTTGATTAATTCACCTTCACAATTCATAGTATTGTTTTAAGGTTAGGGTTGAAAGTGAAGCGCGAGTTTTTTCGTTTTTTTTTTTGTTTGTTTTTCTTATAAATTTAACTCTGTAATATAAAGCAGTGTTCTAATATGTAAGCAGTGTTAATTTCACACGAGAAACAATAAAAAATACTCTGCAGTTTCGTTTTAGGCGACGGATAAGGATACTACTAATTAGCTACATGAAAGCCCAATTGAATAAAATAACATAACATAACATAACATAACATAACATAACATAGAAAAAAAAATGTCATTGCAGTTAAGATAGTAGTTGTTCCTATAAATAGTACTTATAGTAGTTATATATATATATATATATATATATATATATATATATTTCTTTTTTTTTCCTTTAGTTTCAGGATTAAAATATTCAGAGAAATAGAGATAAAAGGACCCTAAACGTCAGTGCAAAAACAAAAGAAAATTGTACTAATAAAAGTATCAACTTCATACTATAAGTTCAACTAAAGCAGATGCGCCGGAAGTTACTTATTTACTATCATTCTGGTTTATTTTATTTTTCCTTGAAACAGTGGCAGATATTGACAGTAGTATATACATATTTGTCCAGAGATAAGTCTCCTATTCAATGCCAAAGATAAGGACTAATGAAATGTTGAATTTATTAACATGACAATATCTCCTGTAAACTCGCACGGGACAATTGACACGTTCTGTTTTCTTGCAGCTCACTTAAATTTGAAGCCCTGCAAGACCAGAATCATTTTGCAGTTGTCTCGTTCTGGAGAAGACATACATTTCTGGAACACCAATTGTCTTTTAGAGGAGTATCGAAGCTTTAAACCCCGGGCAAAGTAGGTTTATGTTATTTGTTTCTTTTATTTATACATTCTATTTTTGCAATTCAAAGAATACTTTCTCTTAAAAAACCCGATTTATTGCATACTGCAAAGAAACAGAAAGAAATGCGCAACATTGATATCCAAACACATTTTATGTATCAAGGAGGAGACTTTCGCTGTAGGACTTTTAACATTAGATAATTATGTGCTTTTTGTCATTAGTTCCATGCAGATGGAAACAGTTAACGTTTTCGGATAAGACACATAATGGGCAGTTGAAACTCTAAACGTTAACACAACGGATAGATTAGCTTTCTTTCTAAATAGTGGAGGCAAGTAATATACATTTTAACTTTACCAAAAACGTTCGCCGTGTTTTTGCTTTTGCTGCAGTGGAGTTACAGTTAACAAATACAATTCATTACAGCACCTTCCTTTCTCGAAGAAAATACAACGATTTATAGTCGCATATTTAATGTTTTATTGAGGAATTTTATTTAATTTCTGGGGTCTTTTCCATTCGTTTCCTTTCCTCGACTTGTAACAAAAATGTGTCGAAATGTGATCACAAGGAGTCTGGTTTTTGCACCCTGCACGTCCTGCAGTAATCATTCTAAGAAAGATAGAGGCCCATTGCAGGTCGAGTGTTCCAACACTATATCTGTGCGACTGAGTTACCAACCATTGATTTAAACTATTTAGTGGCATCCAGCCAGTGTTTGGGACCTTAATCTTAAACGTTCGTACCCGAGAGCGCTTCTGACTAAGGGTCGTTTGTGAAGGAAACTTTCATCTGACTATTATTATTATTGTAAACTTTTCGTCCGTCTTTGTAGAAATGGCTGCAGCCTTCCAACTGCTGTTGGTCTTGACTGCACTTACCGTTAAAACATGTGACACAGAAGAGCTCAACAGAGTAACGAGTGCCTTCCAAGACACCGGAAAGGAACTTGTAGCCGAATTGGAGTCGATTCGTGGCGTTTTGGGACCACTCTCTCGACAGGTCATGCTACAGCAGCTGTTTGTCGAAGAACGTATCAGATCTGAAGGCCACTCTGGGGTGAAGCAGGTTCGGCATGGTCGCGAAGGAACGCGTAATTACTATTCAGACACCCATGGAAACAGCGGCAGGCTTATGGCAATTCACGAACACGCTAACAATATTCGTACTGTTGGTTTGGGAGAATTCATTGGAGTCCTCAACGGAGTGGAATTCAGGACTAGGCACAATGACTATCGTCTCTACATGGCCAACAAAACCAGCAAAGACTACCACGCTACAGAAGAGATTCCATTTCCAGAAGTTCCACCCGAGGTCAAAAATAAGCTTACGGTAGATGAACAAATCGTTGAGATGCGTGAATGGTTTAAGGCATGGAAATCGCAGAATTATACCGTCAGGGATTACAGAAAATACTTCAAGCCAGTGCTGTGCTACCTGGAAGGCGCATGGACCACGGCAACGAAAGACATCGATGAGCCCTTTGAAAGCGACCGGCATTTCATTGATGCAAAATCTTGGTTCGACTTACAAGAGAAAGTTCGCTTTACCTCCTACACGGGAAGAAAAGATAATCTTGAAAACTTTTCGTTCCTGCCAACCACTATCATGGAAATAATCAATGGTACCATCCCTGTCTTTGCTCAATGGAATTACCGAATTTTATGTCATCCACTGAGTCGTGATGTTCCCTTGAACAGGTTTCGAGTGGTTGACGAGTTTCAGAGCAGACTTCCCTCAAGACGGAAATATGAAGAGCAAACAAGTACCAGAGCTGCAAGATTCCAGCTGAATCCCAAAGACTCCGACAAGTGGTCAGAGGGGATCAACAATCCTAAATTTACGTTGCTCGATGAAATTATGAGTGAGATTCCTGGCAAAGATAACTACCAAGGCAGCTTAACTGATGAAGCGTTTGGATTACCAGCGCATACCCTCGACCCCAAGAAAACAGGGAAGCTGAACGTTGCGTACTACCATCGATGGTTCAAAGTCTTGGAGAAAGACGCAATGGGACAGTCAATAAGGCATCGTGGTTATTCAGATGAAAACCTGTTTATGGCTATGACCACTCAACCCAAAGTGGCTGGAATGAAGATGACCACCTGCAAAGGTCCTAAGAGGAACCCCAGATGTACAAGCATCACCCAGAAGTTCTCATATGCGATTCCGTTGGAAATAATCTATCTGACACCCCTGAACAGATGGAACCCATTTGATCTCGAGTACAAAGGTTCTGAGAGGACAGCCTACGGAAAGACAGTGTTTCAGTTCGGTCGCTATGGAGGTAGGACCCCAGATAAAGCCTACAATGGTACCAACAGCAAAAAGTACTATCAGACTCCTTCGGCCTTTTTCTCGGGAAAGGAAGTAAGCACTGATGCTGCAGACACGACGAAAAACAGCGTTGGTGTTTTGGATCGAAACGGCGATGTGAAGATTACCCGAGCCAGCGGAATACGCATCTTTTTTCCACCTATAAACGACGTGGGAGTGCTGCGTCAGCGCTACCCCATAATGCCTGTTCACGGAGAAGGAAGCTCTGTATGGAAGGAACTGGAAGCAACAAAAGATCTTCTCATGAACTCAAAATCGTATGGCTACATGTACAGAGAACCATTGGTGGGTTCTGGTGTTGTACCCACGGAGCCTACAGAGAGACCTCTCACGCTGAAGATGGAAGACGCCACCAAGACTCCCCCAGGTGCACACACGCACGAAATAACTTTAACTGCAGATGAAGTGAAAGACGCCAAGGGAAAAGGAAGCTCTTTCCTGAAAACGACAACGCAAGGAGCTTCACACCAACACCAAATTCGTGTTGCTTGGAGAAATAACCAGTGGAAGATACTCCGTTGTGATAGTTACGACCAAGGAGCATACAGATGCAAAGACAAGCATGGGATGTACTTAAATGAAAACGTGAGTGTGTAGAACGCTGGTCTGAGTAATGTTCTTTGCAGCCTGAAGGAAATAATTTGTAGCTGCTGAGTTAATAATTAAGTCTTACATGACGAAGGACAACGGTAAATTGTTGTTCATAATTAATAGAGTGGTGTAGTTAATCATTAAAGGGTTGAAATAAATATGGGAAGCAAAAAAGTGAACTCGTTTTTATTTACCGACTAAGAATTCAAACATTTTGACATATATATATATATATATATATATATATATATATATATATATATATATATATATATATATATATATTTTTTTTTTTTTTTTTTTCTTTTGATGCCTACTCAATGCTAAAGGGCCGCATTTTCAACTTCAAGCATTGTGCTTGCTTCTCGTAGAGAGGTTTCCGTAAAAATAGCACAAGTTACATTAATTGTCACTCTTAAATCCCCCCACCCTTAACTCATCACGCAGTCTATCTGAAGGAAGAATACGACGAGCCCAAAGGCGTCTGCTTGGAATACTATGGAGTGAAAAGACGAATATGGAGATAAAAAAATGTGCTATATATATTTATCCCAATTTTCGTTCTAAACAGTATTAATTAGCAGGTGACGCTTTCGTGTTCTCTGGCCATAAATTTTTGAATTCAACGAACCACTTTATAGTATGCTCGAACTCCGATAATTTGGTCAACTGGACAACCAAAATGACTGTAAGGAATCGCTTACCATTTCCAAAGAAACATAGAATAATACTCTTAAGAGATTTAAATAACTCTTTCCGTCGAACATCTGTTACTACATTGTTCTCAGCTGCCGGGATTATAGTCAATACGTAATATAAAAAAATCCACGATAACGGGGTTTGAAATATTTCATTTTTACTTTATCAAAAGACATTCGACACGAGTGCAAAGAGCACCTCAAAATAAAATAAGTGATCCGACCAACTTCCAGCACGAAATCTCGCATAAAAGATGGGAGAGCGTTGATTAAAAAACACTGGCCTTTACAAATCTCTTGTTGTCCTCGCTTTTCGGAAACCACAATAATCCTCACAGAACTCGCGACGTCACTGAGGAATATCGTTTCAATCTCGTTCCCAGGCTCTATCTCTTCTGCCTCTCTTGTCGTTGGGAGAAAGACTCTGGTTGCGGCTGGTCACGTGACCACCTGTGAGACAAACTTTTCCACCGGGGTAGAGCCGAATTTTTGTCGATCTCAACTGAAGCGAAAGAAAGGCGATTGCTGGTCATCGCTATATTGACCACACACGGGCAAATACACCTTTGAAATTTTCCAGTCCTATTCTCAGCTTCACACAGGTCAGACAAATTATATGTAATATACATATCAAGCGTATTGAAGTATCAGTCTGATTTCAATTCCAGCCGGTCGATTTACTAACTACACTTTTTCTTGTCTCACACCATTTTGGTCTGAGGTCAACAGAACGAGCGAAATGCCACAAACTGACACAGATGCGTCTGTGTGTGTGCACGCGTGATAGGTATGTATTGCGCGATCGGTAGAGTGAATTCGTATAACCACTTTTTTATATGCTAATAAGACTCACCAAGTAGTAATGAGAAAAACAATTAAAAAAGCACGCACCAAACTGAAACCAATGTCACTTTCCATTGGGTGAAAAATTCCGGTTTGAATTTCTGGAAATCTAAATTGACGAGTTGAAGAGCATTTTCTGGAATTTAAGAACACAAGAACAATCTCGCGAGGTGTATCCAAATTTTCGAAAATTTCTTTCCCGGAATTTTGTCCTAAATTTGATTTTCCTTCCGGTATTTTCGGTTGAATGGTTCGCTTTGCGGAAATTAAATAATCTCCGCTTTTTTTGGAAAATTTAATTTCCCGGGAAATTTCCGAACCATGCCATTTGTCCCCATTTCCAAATTTTGGGAATCAAGGTTGAATAGAAAAGAAAACTCTCCTTGCGCTTCAAATTCCTAATTGTGGGCATTTATTCAAAATAACAAGCCTTAAATGAGATATTGTTTTCTTCCGATGTTTGCATGCCGGCGTGCAAGTACCAGCGCGAGTAGTGTTTCTCAACCACAGGCGTAAGAAAGCCAGCCATATAATGTAATGTAACATCACTGAAAAAATGGCAAGAATATTCAAAAGTACTACGCGTGTTCCGCCCATCTTCACTGTTTTTTCCCTTGCAAATAATATTCTGGTTCAGATTTTAAACAGTCCAGTACATTCTAACGGCAAAACAATCTCTTGCGTAACCAAACTGGTCATTAGAATATTATGCGCCTCATTAACATATAAGGAACGGGTTACACGAATTCACTCTAATGAAAAAAGAAAAACGATGTTGATCGACGAGAAATTAAGGCAGCTAGGTTAATTTGCCTCAAATTATAAGTAACAGATCATTGATCTCTTGAAATTATAGCGTCTGAAGAGATGAGGGCCGAATCGATGAATTTACCACACTTAAAAGTCAGAATGGTTGAATTGTTTTAATTTTCCGCTAGATTTGAACAAAAAAAAATCGGTTAAGTACAAAAGCTGGTCAAGGTTTGTCAAGACAAATACAGAACACACTTCAGACTCGGTAACTATACATTTATTTACATTTTGACCTCCTGACACTGGTGTACTAATTCACCAAGATTTATCAAACACTCGAGCATAGTGGTGACCAAGCCTTTCAATATTATTCACAAAGATCGCCTTAACTACTTCCTTTTGAGTCTTAAAGGCTGTACCTGAAAAGCGACAAAAAATAGCAACAAAAAAGTGTGTTGGGATACATCAACTGTGCAAAGACAACAGAGATAACGGCTATCAATGACACTTGCTCTACCTAGGCTGGTAGACACACAACACAAATATAACAAAGGAGATTTCTTGTTACCTTGCTGCCATCTTTGCCGCGTAGCTTCTGGTGTCATGGCGGAGCTTGGAGGAGGGAACTCCTAAGAGAAATACAATACATGTACACTGTATAGTCAGGAATGTCCAAGCAATTTATTTCTTCATCGTCCCGTCTTCCCGGAATAAAACCCTTTCATATCCTCTGCTGAGGAAATTACAGCTTTATGCTTACCCAGCGATACCCCAAGGGTTGTATGTAACAGTATTTTCTCGCCATAATGTGCCGTGTTCTGCATATTCCCCGCCATAATTTCCCGCGT